AATAGCTGGACAGACTTGATTTTTGAAATAATAATACATTTTGTTCATCATCATGATTTCAGTCCAGGTTCATCTATGACTGCCTCGTTGGCCGAGTGGTCGCAAGTGCGACTGCCGGGCAAGGGGTCTCGGGTTCGATTCCCGGGTCGGGCAAAGTATTACTGGGTTTTAAAAAAAACCTCAGTAGTAGCACGGAGTCTGGAATTGTGCCCGGTATATGGCAATAGGCTCACCCCCTATTACATGGGACTCATAACATAAATAGTGAAAAGTGGGTGTTACTTTATACAGTGGTATAATGTGCACCTCTGCCTACCCCTTCGGGGATAAAAGGCGTGATGTTATGTATGATGTTATGTTCATCTATGTCTGGGTATAGTCTTCCATCTTTTTCTGTCATACTCGGAGGAGTATCTGTATCTCCTTCATCCATCTGTTTATAATGATTCAAATTTCTAACCAATACATTTTTTGACGACCTTGGCACCTTAACTAATCTTTGGTCACCATTCAGTCAAAACCATGCTTCATTTGCTGCATTGGCATCTATGAAAATGATGATATTGACTATATTGGTTTCGTTAACGCACCGATAACCACAAGCGTCTGCAAAATCATAATTTTTGAAAATCTTAACTTCAAATGGAATGTTTTCCGCGAAATTTAGTCATGTCTAACCTAACAATAATATTATATTGTCTACTCTTTTACTTCCTACTAATATAACAATAAGAAATGAGAAAGTTTAAATAAATTACTTACGTAAAACTAATATTATACATGTGAAAGTATGTGTGTATGTTCGTTAGTTTTTTGCGCTAGAAACTCAATTTACTTATTTAATTAAAATAGCGTTTATTAGGTAATCCATCAGTTATGTGTGTAGTGTAGGCATGCACCTATAATCATTCATCCGCTGAAAACTTAACGGGTTACCGGGGCTCCGACTCGAAGCGCAGGAGTAGGAACGGGGTGGTTTTTAGTCAGTAAGAGTCTGACACTCCCTCTCGCCTCACCCAGGTGGGAGCAGTCATTTCATGATTTTCCCCCCTTAAAAAATACGCCCTTAGAAAGCCCCTGTCATTGAAAAAAAGGCAGGCAAGTTGGAGATCGCAGTATAAAAGGTTCAGGTTTATCAGAGAGCGCTGCTGCCCGGTCTCTGTCTAATATGTAGTTAGGTAAAAGTCAAAAGTAGGAGAACTGAGAATTATATTATACTTCAAGCCTACAAGGCCAAGGAAGGAAATATACAATTAAACTATAATGGCTGGAGCCATAATCATCAGTTATAAACCAGAAGTAAGTCAACTGCGGACGCTTGAAAGGAATGCCTCGAGTCGCGGAGCGTGAACAAGAATGAAAGTTCTTCGCATTGTTTTGCATAATTTTGTATTCAATTTAGTATTTGTGGTACTGAGGTACTGTTGGGACTGGTTTAAAATAGTCGGTTCTATATTTATTTTAATTTGGTCAGTACACTAGTTAGTGTGTATTTTTTTTGTTGCTGCCGGGCAAGGGGTCTCGGGTTCGATTCCCGGGTTGATCAAAGATTTACGGGTTTTTAAAAAATTGTCAGAAGTAGGACAGTGTTTGGAATTGTGCCTGGTATATGGCAATAGGCTCACCCCCTATTAAATGGGACTCATAACGTAAATAGTAAAAAGTGGATGTTACATTGTACAGTGGCATTAAGTGCCGTAATGTGCACCTCTGCCTACCCCTGTAGGGATAAAAGGAGTGGTGTTATGTTAGTATGTATATTTGATTTACTCAACCGTGTAAACATCCAAAATAGTTAAATAATTTATTTCAACATGTAACTCGACTAAAAATTTCTTTTATAAACGTCATAATATACCGGAAGTATTGCCAATCGCACGAAAAAGGTACAGTCAAACTAGTCATATTCAATACTTTTTTTAATTCCAAAAAAAATTCAAATGTTTTTTGACTTCATGACTTTATTTTCTTAGAAAAAATTGTAAATTCTCATACACAATGAAAAATGAAATGTGACGTCATATTTTTGCGTCAAATAACATTGTCTATAAATAATGTAGCTAAAAAAATTATGACATTTTATCGGATTTGTAGTAGTATGATTAATTTCTTGTTTTGAACACTCGAAACAATATATTTTTTACTGCGGAAACTAGCCATTCGATCAGCTTACGTTCGGCGCGTGTGTACGGTTTGCAATCCGATACCTGACAGCCGGCACCGACAGCTGTACGATCCGTTTCCGATATTGTACACATGTACGGTGCCGGAGGTAGATAATGATATATTTAACACGTTTTTTTTCTTTGTCATTATAAGTAAAGTTTATAATACTGTTATGTTTTTGTAACGAATGATATTTTATAATTAACTCGCACTTCATTACAAATCAACAGCCTATAAGTATCCACTGCTGACCAAAGGCCTCTTCTCACACGGAGATTTGAGCATTAATCACCACGCTTGCTCAATGCGGGTTGGCGATTTCATACTTAACTTTAGAGATTATAAGCCCTGGTTTCTTCCATTCTCCTTCATCGTTTGCCAGTGGCATCTAAATTATTTTAGAAAGTACATATAACTCGGAAAAAGTCACATTGGTACTTGACGTTAGTAGGTTTCGAGCCCTCATGCATGAGAAGCGGGCATCTTTAACCCGCGAGCCACGACGACCAACCTTTTACTGACTTACCTCTGTAATTGCCACTGCCCGTAGTCGACTCTTATTGCTGCTACTGAGTGACGTTACATATCAAACAATTAACAAAGAACAATTAGCAATACACAATCAAAACATTTAGGTAATGACTCAGTAGAACAATCTATAGTGACTCAGTCAAGAGTATGACGTCATAACTTTGTAATGAAGTAATTAGATTGGTAGCATGCTTCTGAGAGCGGATTCGGTTGCCGGGGTAAAAAGTAGCCCATGTGGAAGATCGAAGTGAAATGGATCGCGATCGCCAGGGGAGAGAGAGAGAGAGAGAATAATCTCGATCAATGACACGAGAATGCGAAAAACTTATTTTCAAAGTTCGAATTGACAGTTACAGTATAGCCTAGCCGGTTTATTCCCAACTAAGATTTATTTTTGTCAAGGCGTCGGTTTTCTCCTCGGCCGGCCCTTCCACAATTAAGCTACTTGTGAAAGGTAAACAAACAAGAAATAATAACTACAACCAATAGGAAAAATCGATACCCGAGTGAGATCGATGTCCGATTGATATCAATTATATCAATTTCAACTGTTAGTGAAGCTCGTCGCAAATTGTAGCCTCTTAAAATGGAGTATAACTTGCGAGAACCTCCAATTTTCAAAATCGAATATATCCTTCAATAACGATTTCAAATAAATTCTAAAAATAACTAAAATCCTTAAAATAACTACACAACAACTAAACATCTGTCCAATACCAATTACATAATTAAAATAAATAACTTTTTTTTCACAAAAACACGCCATATTAAACGGAAGCGCGCGCGCCACCATCTTCCCGCCAAACGGACGGACGCGCCATAATCGAAATCGACACTTCCGCCCGTTTCAAAAAAGGAACGCATTGTCGGTTTTTTTTATTATCCGCTGGCAAAGATATTACGTTTGTTGCCTTGTTGCATCCTCATTTTTGAATGGCCCTCTTTATTTTATTAATGGTAACCAATTATGTTGGTTTGTGTGTTGTTATATCCGAAACCGATTGACTGATTTGGATGGTTTAATTGATTTGGAACGACGTTTAAATATTGATTTGGTTTTGTTGTGTTTGTTAAATTAATTAAGTATTTATTGATTATTTTAATTGACATTGTTTAATCAGCTTCGGCGTGAATGTAACTGTGGTGGTAAGTCTCAGGTTCTGTCTCAAAGTCGAAGCAAGTTTTGAGTTTTTATTTTTAGTATTGTGTATGTTATATTGTGTAAAGTTACCTATCAACTTTGAAAAACCAGTAATTCTTTGCCCGACCCGAGAATCGAACCCGAGACCTCTTGCCGGGCAGTCGCACTTATGACCATTCGGCCAACGAGACAGTCATTCTATTTTATTGAAACGTTACACAAATACATAAAATATAATAAAATAATTACATGACAAAATAAATGGTCAATTTGACAAAGGCCTATCCCAACCGGATATAGTACAAAAATCGGGAAATCCCCTACAATAGACTGAACGGAACAAAACCTATTCAAGAAACGGATATACCGCCATTTTGCCACCGGAAGCGGATGTGGACTGTAATAGCTATAAATGGTGACATTTTCATGTTACATGATTATTAGCGATGTGGTTACGATTGTAAAATATAGCAGTTATGGATATTTAATATTTTTTTTATGGCATAAGCACCGGCTTACCGGCTCGTTTACCGAAACGAGCAGACGGATCACCTGATGGTAATCAATTGGCGTCGTCCATGGACACCTGGAACACCAGAGGCATTAGAAATGCGTTACCGGCCTTTTGAAAAAAAAAACAATATCAATAAAAAACAAGTTGAATCAGAGTATCCTACCACCCCGCCATCCCAGCACCCGCTTAGTCATCCCTCTGTAACCTGGCGGCCTTTTTTAAGGGGGGGGAATCATTGAATGACTTCCCCCGCCTGGGTAAGGGGGGAAGTGTCAGACTCTTACTGACTAAACACCACCACGTTCCTACTACTGCCCTTCGAGCCGGAGCCCCAGCAACCGGTTAAGTCTAGCCCCTTAGAAGCAATACTTGCTTGTCTGCACGGTTGGTGCGGTGGCTGGGCAACCGGCTGCCGTGCAATGTGTCGCGGGTTCGATTCCCGCACGGGACAAAACTTTGTGTGATCCACAAATTGTTGTTCCGGGTCTGGGTGTCATTGTGTATGTAACAACTTGTATGTTTGTAAACGCACCCACGACACAGGAGACAATCCTAGTGTGGGGCAACGTTTCTTTAAAACAAAAAAAAAATACGGCTGTGATTTAAACCATATATTATCTCTTTCATTCCAGGATATAACCAGTAACCATGCCTACACAAGCTCGCTGTGATCGGGTGCCTCCTCCTCATGCCAAGTGGGACGCTCTGGACCTGAGGGTACTGCAGGAAGATGATCTGCCACTTGGTAAGTGCACTGCCCCCGACAGTCTTCCCCCCAATGACTCCACGTCGCGAGGATGGACGCGACCTGCATACAGCGACTGTCGCAGACCTTACAATCCAGGACCTATATACTAGCTTTTACCCGCGTCTTCGCTCGCGTCACAAAAGGATAAAAAGTATATATATATGACATATACCAATACACACAGCGCCATCTATACTAATTCTTTTGTTTTCCCTCGGGAATATCAAATTTTTCCGGGATGAAAAGTACCCTATTATTTAATCCAGACTTCTAACTTTACGTCTGCAAAAATTTAGAGCAATCGTTTTAGTAGTTACGGCGTGAAAGCGGAACAAACAAATAAACAAACAAACTCACTTTCCGATTTATAATATAAGTAAGGATTAGACTGCTTCTATGGTCGTATGGTCGTCAACGCTACTGACGGGCCTCTGTCATTTCCTGCCTTCCTTGGTAGAAAAGTATTATTGAGGCATTTCAGTTTTTATATAGCACGGAGTCTAGAGTTCGTACTGTGTGTACTGTGTGCCCTATTACACGGAACTCATAACATAATTGGTGAAAAGAAAACCTTAATTTTTTGCTCCTTCATAAAGTAAAGTAGCCTATGCATATTTAATTTAAGTGTGGGAGAGCCATGCTTCGGTACGAATGGGCCGGCTCGACCGGAGTGATACCACCAACTAGCAGAACCGTTGTGTGTGAGTGAGTTTACCGGAGGCCCAATTACCACCCTCCCTAGTCTCCCGAATCCTCACAAAATCCTCAAATTCCCAATCCCCAAAAGTCAGGTAACGCACTTGTAACGCCTCTGGTGTTCCAGGTGTCCATGGGTGGCACCGATTGCTTACCATCAGGTGATCCGTCTACTCGTTTACCGGCTTATATACCCCTGTTCCAAATTCCATCCGGATCCCTTCAGCCGTTTTGACGTGATTGAGTAACAAACATACAGACAAACACATAAACTTCGCATTTATAATGTTAGTAAGATGTATCATTAACAAATACCTTCTTCTCTTCACCAGATCCTCGATCCTGGGGCCGTGCTGAGGTCGGCACGTGGGTGTCCCGACGTGGTGGTCTACCGGAGCGGTTCCCCATGAATGGGAAGGCGCTGTGTCTTATGTCCAAAGACATGTTCGCCTCGCGGGTGCCTCATAACGGACACATGTTACACCAGGTTCGTACAACTCCTTGTTTTTTTTTAACTCAGAGTACCGTCATTATAGACACAATTAAAGAAGGTTGCGGTCACCGGTGTCCTCTCAGTGTTTGACAGTATAAACTAGCTTCTCCCCGCGACTTCGTACGCACAATCCCGTTTTGTCCCGTTCCCGTAGGATTTTCAGGATGTTTTTATGTCATAAGAACCTTCTCCTGACGATAATAAACACAAAAAAAAAATCAGACAAATCGGTCCAGCCGTTCTCAAGCTATGGCGTGACAACAGCTTTTTATCCGCGTTAATAGGGTAGTATCCTAAATTTTAATTTAACGTCCGTCTGGTACATTAATTTAAAACATTAGACACGTATTTTTTCTTTTCTCATAAAATTAAATACTTTCGACGATATATTAATATGAAATATCGTGTGACGTCACAGCGTGTCACATTTTGTAGCGCGTTATGACGTAACGATTTCCCACTCCTAAACTTAGCGCCATTTTATCTAAGTATTGCAACTAAGTATTGAAAATAAACAAATACGTGTCTAAGTATTGTACGTACTATCTAAGTATTGAAAATAAAAAAATACGTGTCTAATATTTTTTCATTATCTAACTGACGGACTAATTCAATTTTTAATTTTCATTCCCTGGGAACCGGGTTCGGTTCCCGGGTCGGGCAAAGCATTACTGAGTTTTAAAAAACAAAATCTCAGTAGGTAGTAACACGGAGTCTGGAATTGTGACTCACCCCCTATTACATGGGACTCGTAACACAAATAGTGAAAAGTGGGTGTTACATTGTACAGTGGCATTAAGTGCCTTAATGTGCGCCTTTGTGATTGTTATAGTTTTCTAACAAACATTTGTTTCATTGTTACAGGATTTCAGAAGAAGGCTAGCGAAGGCATTAGCACTACAGGAACTAATAGAAAAGATCGCAACACACTGACTGACAATATAGCAAAAATTACTTAAAACAAAAACTATTAGAGGCTTCAAAAGTTACTATTTTACTAAAACAATGTCGTCATGAGCTAATGTTCACGTGTAAACAGCAGCTCATGTAGTGTAGATGTCCAGTCAACAAGGATGTAGCGAGGTTGACTGTCCAGGCGACACACGTACTTAGGTATCGTCATGAGCTAATGTTCACATGTAAACAGCAGCTCATGTAGTGTAGATGTCCAGTCAACAAGGATGTAGCGAGGTTGACTGTCCAGGCGACACACGTACTTAGGTATCGTCATGAGCTAACACATTACAACTTAATTATCCTTTACCCGACTAGGGAGCTTAATAGTCAAACTTGACACAATCTGATCAATGACACTATCTTGTAAACCAAACTTTATGCTGGTACTCATAAACTACTGAACAGATTATCATGAAATTCAGTACAGAGATAGACAGATTAAAACAAATTACTTATAGACAAATTTTCATTACTTTATGGTATAGTCCGGTAAACGAGCTGACAGATCACCTGATGGTAAGCAATCAGCGTCGCCTATGGACACCTGGAACACCAGAGGCGTTACAAGTTCGTTACCGGCCTTTTGGGATTAGGAATTTGACGATTGTTGGGGATTTGGGGATTGGGGAGATCGGGGACCCGGTAATTGGGTCTCCGGTAACCTCACTCTCACGACACAAGCGTTGCTTCACGTCGGTTTTCTGCTCGGCCGTGGTATCACTCCGGTCGAGCCGGCCCATTCGTGCCGAAGCATGGCTCCACACAAGCACACTTAAGTTACGCCATTGTAAAACTGTGCGGTTTATGATGAAAGTTAAACAGCAACAAATAGCAACTGTTAAAGATGTCAAGGTTGACCAGTTAGCAATAGTTGCTATTGCAAATATTTTGAGAATAAAAAAAACAGATGAAGAAATGTTAAGAAATCTGTATTATATTTGTGATAAATTCTTATTCGATCCTGCTTTGTTCCTATGTCTTATTAGTGTATCCTACTAAATGATAGGTAATATATAATGTGTTGTTTTAAAGCCGCGTCATTTTCTAGGAGGTAACTCGGCTATCGATTCTGAGTCCGAATCAATAAAAAAATTGTAGGTAAATATTTTTCATTTTTCTGTGAATTACGGAAATCCGTAAGTGCGAACTACACGCCGCCGTCTTGTAAGCTTGATTACGCGGCTCAACACACACAAACTCAAACACGTAATTGATATTATTCCTAATTCCATAAAACTCTAATAAGAAACATTGCTGTCGATTATTCTGAAATACTGTCGAACTTAAACGATTTATTATAGCCGTATTTTTAACTATTGGCCCGAAACTTTCTCTTACATTGAACCTTTATGCCTTCTGTGACATGCCCCCGAGAAATGCCACGGCTTCAAAACTACACCTTGTATGTATAACGGTGACTGTTGGTTATTCTCTATCTCCTAAACGGCTGGACATATTTTAGAGAAATTTTCCTTAAAAATATGTAATTGCATTGTTTTATTCTTAAACTATTTTGTAGACTAATTGTTATGTAAAAATCTAGCGGGTGACAGTCCACTGCTGCACTATGAGCCTCCTCTACATAAGTGGGGTTTGTCATAATCTCCATGTTTGAGTTGGGGATCGCAGTATTCGGTTCAGGGTGTTTACTCTTGAATCCAATTCCGATCGATCGACATTGGTATTGTGAAATTTCGTACTCTTGAGTCGCAACACTAGCGCCCATTGCATCCGTATTGCGTGGATATTGAATGAACTAAATGGTATTGAGTTTGTCTTTATATTCCGTACTCTGAATGCTATTGTAACAGCTACGATAGGGGTTGTATAGTGTTGACATTGAATAATTATTGAGATTTTATTGGATTGAAATTGTATTGACATTGAGATTGGTTTCAAGAGTAAGCCCCCAGGATTATCAGAGAGCACTGCTGCCCAGCCTCTGTCTAATGTGTAGTCCCTTAGTCGGGTATACGACACCCGCGGGAAGAGTAAGGAGTGTTGATAAATGTATTCTACTCTACCATCATCAATGTAAACATAATAATAATCAGTATTATTAAACCATTTTGTTATTAAATAAATAATTAGTTTTTAATAAATAATAAATTGTTTGTATATTAGATTTGTAATTCTAGTCAAGGGTGTATACATTGTAAATAAATGATTATTTTCAAAAAAATATTTGAATTTTTTATTATTTTTGTTAGCCTTATCATCAACAGCCTATAAATGCCCACTGCTGACCCAATCCTCTTCTTGTACGGAGGTTTGGGCATTAATCACCACGCTTGCCCAATGCGGAATTAAGAAATTATAAGCCCAGGTTTCCTCACAATATTTTCTTTCACCATTTGTCAGTGGTGTCTGAATAATCTTAGAAAGTACATATAACTCGGAAAAAGTCACATAGGGACTTGCCGTTGGTAGGTTATGTACCCGCACTCTCATGCATGAGAAGTTTAAAGACGCGTCAACCTCCGGAAACCACGACATCAATAATTAAACTACTTAAATTATAGAAAGGATAGAGAAAGCACAATTATGAAAGCAGTAGGTATTTTTTTAATGGGGGAAAATCATCGAATGACTGCTCCCGCCTGGGCGGGAGGGAGTGTCAGACTCTTACTGACTAAAAACCACCCCGTTCCTTCTCCTGCACGTCGAGCCGGAGCCCGGTTACCTACCCGTTAGGTTCTCCGCGACTCCGAATCAAGCAGTAGGAATGCAGAGCGGATATGAATGGGACCGTCGGTAGAGGGCGCCCTAGACGGACATATATCGACCAGATTGGTGATTTATTATAGCAGGGCCAAATTAAAAGTACCCTTAACCGACGAGCATGCATGAAAAGATTGATGACTGTTGATGAAGCGAAAGAGGTGTGTAGGAATCGTAGTAATTGGCGTTCCATAGTCTGCCTGGCATGATAGATAGCGACGTTATGTATGTTTGTATGTAAAATAAAAACCAACAATATTTTCAGATAATTAGGTATATTCATTATTTTTTTCCAAGCAATCCTTTTAACCCCTTGCTAGTGGCTCCAGTAAGCGTTTGTAGCAAGTTAGGTCCAGTATCAGCCAGCTGTTTGGCCAGGCCGTCGAAATTCTTCTTGAACTCATCGCACGCCTTCTGCACTATTTCTTTAAATTTGTCTATACTTACATTCTTCTTGTCTGGAACATCGTTAAAGAGGGCACGCAGTTTCTCTTCTTGTTCTTTTGTTTGGTCTATTAGTTTTACTGTGGAAGAAGAATCAGTTTTAAATGAATGAAAGAAAGAAAGAAAAACCATTTATTTTGCTACGACACACAACAAGAATAATAGAAACACAAAAAAAGCCTATGGTGCGTCGCAGCGCAAAAGACTGGAGCTCAGCTTAATACCGTGGAGCGGGCACAGAGGCTCGAGTCCACGGCGCTGATTTTCAGCACCAGCCCGTTATAGTACGTAATAGTTGAACACCTACGGTAACGCTGTTCGGAAATGTGGGAGAGCCATGCTTCGGCTCGACCGGAGTGATACGACAGCTGAGCTGAAAACCGACGTGAAGCAACGTTTGCGTTGTGTTTCGTCGTGTGAGTGAGGTTACCGGAGGCCCAATATCCCCAATCCCTGAATCCCCAACAATCCTCAAACTCCTAATTCTCAAAAGGCCGGTATCGCATTTGTAACGCCTCTGTTGTCCATGGACGACGCCGATTGATTACCATCAGGTGATCCATCTGCTCGTTTACCGGATTATCCTATAAAAAACGAAGATGAAGATTAACTTAGCCGGTATTATAGATATAGCGTAACAAGTTACCGTGGCTCCGGCTCAAGCAGGAGAAGGGACAGGCTGGTGTTTAGTCAGTAACTGCACGGTGCGGTGGCACAGCGCGTGACGCTAGTTCAATTTCGGCACGAAACAACTGTTTGTGTGATCCACAGATTGTAGTTCCGTGTCTGTATGTGATGTGTATGTGAACTTGTATGTTTGTAAACGCACACACGATACAGAAGAAAATGTAACAGTGGGCCAACGTTTATAATAAAAAAAGGAAATGATAGTCTGACATTTTCTCTCGCCTCACCCAGGATGGGTGATGATCTCTTCAGAAAAGGCTAATTAACTATTTACACTTCACATAACATAACATCACGCCTTTTTGCCCCGAAGGGGTAGGCAGAGGTGTACATTATGTCACTATACACTCTAACACCCACTTTTCACTATTTATAAGTCCCATGTAATAGGGGGTGAATCTATTGCCCTATACCGGGCGCAATTCCAGACTCCGTGCTACTACTGAGATTTTGTAAAAACCCAGTTATATTTTACCCGACCCCCGAAGTAAACGAGCAGACGGAAAATTGATCAATGCTTCACGCTGGGACTATGCTAGAGGATTGCCGTCCTTTTGGGGCCTTTATTAAGACTCACTTTTTAGTGTGGGAGAGCCATGCTTCAGCACGAATCGCACGTTAACAGAAGCCCAATTACCTCCCTCCTTTTCACCAATCTCCCCAATCCCTGAATCCTCAACGATCCTCAAACTCCTAATCCTCAAACGCACTTGTAACGCCTCTGATGTTCCAGGTGTCCAAGGGCGACGCCGATTGCTTACTATCAGCCCATCAGGTGATCCGTCTGCTCGTTTACCGGCTTATGCCATAAAAGAAAGACAATGCTGTGGCAGTGTCACGCCGCACTATGTTGAACCGGACACTACATAACTTTATACATACTAAGGTTGCAACACTTACTGTCTTTCAACCATTTCACCAGATTATCCACGTCATTCTTGCCCTGTTTCTGTAAATTTGCGAAGGCAGCCTCCATTATATTATACCAATTTATTGTTTTTTATACAAATTATATAAAATTTATCACAAATTTTGTAGAAAAAACATAAATAACATCATCAAAAAGAGTTTTTTGGGCAGTTGTGTGAGAGTGCAGGGAATGTTTTTATAATCTACTTGGTTTAGAGATTTCAAATTGATTTATAATCTATTGGGCTACGTATGACTGTGAGCGGTCGCAAGTGCTACTGCCGGGCAAGGGGTCTCGGGGTCGGGCAAAGTATTACTGGGTTTTTTATAACTTCTTAGTAGGTAGTAGAAGCACGGAGTCTGGAATTGTGCCCGGTATACGGCAATAGGCTCACCCTCTATTACATGGGACTCATATAAAAGTGGGTGTTACGTTGTACAGTGGCATAAGTGCCGTAATGTGCACCACAACTTCGGGAATAAAAGGCGTGATGTTCCGATGTTATAGGCTACGTATTAATTAGAAAATTAGTTAGGTAGTAAATAATTCAAACACAACAAATCTCGTTTACGAAAACCGAAATAGTTAATCGTACTTTCCTTGATTGACCGTCTGTAATAACGAAAATATATAAGTACTACTTTCATAAAAAATTGTTGTCTCATTCTAGAATTTTTCTCAGGGAATCGAGGCCGTGAGACGTTGCGAAGCAGGCAGTTGTTCAATTACTACAGGCTGACCTAAACTGCATGTTTACCAGTTTAGGTCAGCCCACCGTAAGCGGCTGCATTCAAAGCGTGCACAGCACACGGGCGCATGATCAGGGGGACGGCAAATCGAGCGACTCATTACTAAACATTCACAATCATTGTTCAGAGTTTACTGAAAGCTATCATCGCTTGGAAAAATCCTAATCGGCCCAGCGAGCAATATTAGAGCTATCACTATCTATTGTCATCAACTAATGCAATACCAAACTTGGAATCATTCGCAAATTGTTCACTGCCTGATCACACTCCGAATTGTACAAGTATCCTTAGTCGTTTTCAATGAAAACTCCAACTTGATGATTTTCAGCCTGAATTCCTGATCTAGACCAGGTCGACATAGGCTTTCACTAGGACAACCGCGCGACTGTGAGTTTTTATTAAAATAGATTTTTATGGCTTAAATGTGGTTTTTCAATTGCTGAGTCGGCCAGAGTAACAGTACATTTGTCACTTAATGACATCAAATCGGCTGAAGGGATCGGGATGTAATTTGTAACAGAGGTAGATTATGATCTGGAATAACACATAGGCAACTTTTTATTCTTCGAAAACGCGGGCGAAGCCTCTAGCAGAAGCTAGTTTTTTATATAGTTACCCTGCTGACAAAAATATTACATTTTCTACTTGACTATCGCATTCTCATGCTCGGCTCTGTGAGCAGTCCAACCCAATATAAATTTTCTCTCGCACACAACTCAAACAAAAAAAAAACAATTCAATTCAATATGATGGGTCTTTATTTTAAGGGAAGAAAATCATCGAATGACTTCTCCCGTCTGGGTGACGCGGGAGAAGTGGAAAAGTGGGGTGAGGTGTCAGACTTTTACTGACTAAAAACCACACCGTTCCTACTGCTGCACTTCGAGCCGTAGCTATCCAGCTACGGATCAAAAAAAATCATGTTAGTTATCCAACTAACATGATTTTTTTTTAAAAAAACGTTGCCCCACACTAGGATTTTCTCCTGTGTCGTGGGTGCGTTTACAAACATACAAGTTCACAAACACATGACACCCAGAAACAAAAATCTGTGGATTACACAAAGAGTTGTTCCGTGCGGGAATCGAACCCGCAACACGTTGCGCGGCAGTCAGTTGCCCAACCACCGCGCCAACCGTGCAGTCAATGATAATGATGATGATGGGTGTGGCATGGTCTTTGTGTGACCAAAAGATCCTAAATTGATAAAGATAATAAAAAAACACAATTCAACGATAAACATAATTTAATAACACATCAGTTTCTCCTCAGCGCATCTCTGAAAGCTGAGACACCCTCAGTAGCTGCCCTCATCAGTCCAGGACCTTCCTCAGTCAACTGCCTCGTCAACTCCTCAAAAGTCTTCGATTTTTCTTTGGCTAATTTCATGATAATCGCTTTGAACTCCTCCAGTCTGACCTTCCGACTGCTTTTAGCTTTTTTAAACATGATTTTCAATTGGATATCGTCTTCCTTGGAGTCATCTACGAGATTTGCTAAAAGATATCAAAGGTGTTATTAATAAATATCTCTTTTTTTGGGAATAGGGGACAATTATGTCGTGAGAGAGCTATGCTTCGACACGAATGGGCCGGCTCGACCGGAGTATTTATTTATTTATTAACACTTCTGTATAATAAACATACGATGGCGGACTTAATGCCGGGTGGCATTCTCTAACAGTCAACCATGGGGTGATGAGTAGGTGTAATAGGTATAATGGTTTAGTATTAACACGACCGAGCAGAAAACTGATATGAAACAACGCTTGCGTTGTGTTTCGTCGTGTGAGTGAGGTTACCGGAGGCCCAATTACTCCCCTCCCCAATCCCCAATAATCCTCAAATTCCTTGTTTTTTTTAGGGTGGAAAATCATCTAATGACTTCTCCCGCCATGGGTGTGACGGGAGGGAGTGTTAGACTTTTACTGACTAAAAACCACCCGTTCCTACTCCTGCTCTTCGAGCCGGAGCCCCGGCAACCCGGGCCTTCCTCAGCTCCGTCAAATTCCTTGTTAGGCATGAATTTTAAAGGTGTTGCAAGTGAAATGAAAAGAGAAACTCATTCTCCGTTTCTTTGCTGCCAGTCGCAAGTGGTAGAACTTAAGGTAATACTAAAGTACTGCTTACAATCTTTGATCCACTGAATCAAGTACGGTGCATCAGTTTTTTGTTCCCTTTCCAAGTTCTCAAATATCTCTGCCAAGTCCCTTTGAGCCAGTGCTTTGTCCACCATGATTTTAACTCATTATAAATTTATATTAAGTATTTCATGTAGTGTATTACTGCTGAAGGCATAGAATTAAAACTACGGCTGAAGGTAAATAAATATAAATAGCTGACAGAATGCGTTTATCTAATGTCAAAGCGATATGATTTTTGGGTTACTATAGTTATTTTTTTAAAAGTTAAAAGATCAAGCGTATAAATGATGGCAATACCTATTTTAATTAAAAAGCGGGGTTCCACTTGTCCATTACGCTGCGTTGCGTCGTCGCAGCATCGTGTTCCATATCGCTGGGGATAGTGCAAATTCGCGAATCTACCATACGTAAAGGCCGCGTATCTGCAATACATCCAATATAACAGGGAACGGTTAATACTACTTAATACCTTGATTCATATTCATTCAATTAATTTGAAGCCCGTTTTTTCATATTAAAAATGAGTCAAGGCGGTCGTCGCGCGCGACGTTTAACGGAGAAGCGGGATGTGGAATGATACGCTGTGTCGATAGACAGTCATGACGTTTGTATGCGAACTGAGAAGAAATCGTCCCAATCGCAACCCTGGTGGGACATAAAAAGCGTTGTTTCCCTGTGACGACGCGACATAATGCAGTAGCGCAATCCTCAGGGCCGTCTTAGACTGCGCGGGGGGCCTTGAGCACACAATAATTCAGGGCCCTTTGAAATGTTTCTTTTTGCGTAAAACGCACACATTGCACCACACTAGGATTTTCTCTTATACAAATTACGGGTGCATTTACAAACATACAAGTTCACATACACACATTTGTAGATCACCCAAAGATTTACTCCGTGCGGTAATCGAACCCGGAAAGCGAGTGTATCCGTCGTAGAAGTTGTCGGTCCTTCGGAGTCTCCTGAGGATGGGGTCCATGGGCACGGGACCCGAGTGCCCTTATAGTAAAGACGGTCCTGGCCTTGCTCTTATGTAAAAGAGACTCACAGTCAATGAACTGCCAAGGGCTGTTGATGATGCTAATGAAAAGATCAAGAAGATTATTCTCAGTGTTATATTTTATAACTGCCTCATTAGTAGAGTGGTCGCTAATCCTAGTGTCTGACTGCTTCATTGGTTACGAATTACGATGTCGCTAGTGCGATTTTAAAGCTAGGGTATTGAGTGCCATTACCCTTGCTGGTTTCCATTGCTAGGTCGAACAAAGCTTCTCTTCTTACGTTTTTATAATAACTATCGCGAGATGTACTAAATTAATGATTATGTTTTCGGCTGCAGAGCGTACCGCTGCAGAGGCGACCAGCCAGTACCAGAGCCAGTCGCCGCGTCGCGGGTCAATCATCACGGAATGCTGTTCATGAATATGAGCCTCTAATCTAGACTTGAAACTAGTCGTGTTCTTACGGTCTTCCATATTTCGGATATTCTTTATTAGCACGGAGCTTGAAATTATAGTTAGTGTAGGTATAACAATAGCCTCAACTCCTGTACGGACTATTAATATAACTATTGAAAAGTGCTTGTAACATTAAATAAGCTCACAAGGTTGCTTTTCATTTTGCACAACCAATAAATTATAGAATTTTTTCCCCCTAGTCCCTTCCATCATCGTACCACAAGACAATCAGCGAAGCGCCACCGCTTCATGATAGATGTCCCACCCACTCACCTCGCACGTGAGTCCGAAATCACAATTCAAAAAGTTCAAGTTTATCATAGAGCCTTAAAGAACTCCATGGTGTGGTGGCCCGAAGGTTTAAGACGCCTGCTTCTCATGCTTGAGAGTGCGGGTACAAAACCTACCAACGGCAATTACTAATGTGACTTTTTCCGAGTTATACATATGTAAGTACTTTCTAAGATTATTTAGACTGACAAACGGTGAAGGAAAACATCGTGAGGAATTTTTTTTTTGAGGTTGTAAAATCATCCAACGACTTCTCCCGCCTGGGTGAGGCGAGAGAGAGTGTCAAACTCTTCCTACTGCACTTCAAGCCGGAGCCCCAGCAACCCGTTGAGTCTTCCGCGGCTCCGTATCGGCATCAGCCCTGTTGGGCCCCATCTGTGGTGGTCTGATGGCTTCTTGAGACGCGCGCAGAACTAGTTCTGATCGGGCGGATTTAATTTCTAATTATAAATTTGAAATCGAAAACCCGCATTAATGCTCAAACCTTCTCCGCGAGGAGAGGCCTTTTGTCAGCAGTGGATACTTATAGGCTGTTGATGTGTGTGATGTGTAAAGCCCTTCTTCAAGCTGACCTCTTTCTTTGTTGTGTAAATGTCTCGGAACAATAACTAAAGCAAGTTATTGTTCCGAGGTATATGTCTAGGTATAGATTTCTCTTATACTTATGATCCCCTATACTTATTATACTCTTTGCTTATGATATCTTTGTTATAGATTATAAAATTATAATTTGTCAAAATCTACCTTCAAAATGTCAAGTATACCTGTTTAATATATTGGATAAACAAGAGGTAAACTTATATAAAAATGTGAACTTTAAACAATAATACACTTAAATCTAATAGTTCCGTGCCATCATTGCGCTATGGCTCCTAAAGATTTGGCAGAAGCGTTCAGTAATCTTGAAAAGGAAGTAAAAACTGATGTCGGTTCTTTAGTGCAGTGGATGATAGATTGTAAGTACATTTTAAAATATTAAATAACTAGCTTTAACGGTGATGTATTCTCCGTACTCCCAACTATATGTATCACCTCTCCCCGGTCGTGTCGGTCTGCCGTCCCATCGTATTCAGAGAGTTAGGGAACAGAGAGTGGACCTGTGTTTGCGCACACACTTGTGTACTATAATATCTCCTGCGTAGTGAGCCAGTCTAGTTAGACTTGTCACCATGTTCCAAATCGATCGTGAAGCTTTATCACTACATAGTATAAAAGTACAAGTCGCTATCCGCCGTCTGTCTGTCCCTATGTATGCTTAGATCTTTAAAACTACGCAACTGATTTTGATGCGGTTTTTTTTAATATATAGAGTGATTCTTAAGTAAAATTTATATGTGTAATACATGCATATTGCACCCGTGCGAAGCCGAGGCGGGTCTCTAGTTTATTTATATGTAGGCAAAATTCTAGAAGATTGCTAAGTAGATAAATTGTAAAGAAGTATTATTTAACAAACTTACTTTCGCATTAATAAGAGATACTGCCGTATAAGGGGTCTCGTGACAATTCAAAGATAAGGCAAAGTATATTTTTTTCAGTGTTTCCGTATGACATTGACTGAGTCTTATCCCTCATGGTGCTCATAACACAATAGGTAAAAAGTGAATGTTACTTTAATACGTTTATGTATCTCATCTCTGCCTACCCCTTCAGACATGAGCTCGCCAAAAACAGCATAACGCCCAAATTCACTTAACTCTTTTAAATTCTAAGTAATTCCTAAAGGACACTAAGACTGCACGGTTGGTGCGGTGGCTGGGCAACCGGCGGGCTCGATTCCCGCACGGAACAACACTTTGTGTGATCCACAAATTGTTGTTTCGAGTCTGGGTGTCATTGTGTAGTTATATGTGAAGTTGTATATTTGTAAACGCACCCACGACACAGGAGAACATTCTAATGTGGGAAAGAATAAAGTAACACTTAACGACATTTTAATTGCACCAAGTTAACATGTCTTTTTGAGGGGCGAAAATCATCGAATGACTTCCCGCGCCCAGTGTGAGGCGGGAGGGAGTGTCAGACTAAATACTGTCTGTGTCTTACTGACTAAATACCGCCCCGTTCCTTCTAGTGCTTAGAACTGGAGCCCCGGCAACCCGTTAGGTCGTCTACTACGCAAAGTGACTTTCAATTAGGTAGAGATGGTTTAAAGGTAATTGATGAAAACGGTAATAATTACATAACATACCATCACGCCTTTAATCCTCGAAGGTGTAGGCAGAGGTGCACAATATGGCAATAAACGCTACTGTACAATGTAACACCCACTTTTCACTATTTATGTTATGAGCCCCATGTAATAGGGGGGTGAGCCTATTGCCATATACCGGGACAATTCCATACTCCGTGCTATTATTACTAGGATTTTTTTTAAAACCCAGTAATACTTTGCCTGACCCGGGAATCGAACCCGAGACCCTTTGCCCGGCAGTAGCACTGGCGACCACTCGGCCAACGAGGCAGACGATAATTATTCTATACCAGCTTTTACCCGCGGCTTCGATCGCGTCACAAAAGGATAAAAAGCCAATGTGACATATACCAATACACACATCGCCATCTATACCAATACTTTTGTTTTCCCTCGGGAATATCAAATTTTTCAGGGGTAAAAAGTACCCTATTATTTAATCCGGACTTCTAACTTTACGTCTGCAAAATTTCAAAGCAATCGGTTTAGTAGTTACGGCGTGAAAGCAGAACAAACAAACAAACAAACAAACTCACTTTCCGATTTATAATATAAGTAAGGATAATAATATCATTTTTACAGCAAAGCTAATAGGAGAAACAAAAGAAGAGATGGACAAAGCCACGGCACTCTTCGCCAGCGTAGCAGACAGCAAGAAAGTCAAGCTAGACGAATTCCTAGGTATTGTTGCTAAAATGTCTGCGAATCTAGCTAAACCTTTGGAAGACCTTGCTAAGCTACTGCTGGGGTCTGTAGCGGCTGCCGGTGGCGCGTCTACGTCTAAATGACAATACTGTCGACCTAGAACACGGTGTGGTACTTAATTATTATGTTTTCGGCTTACTCACGTAACTGTTTGACGAGGAACTCGACTAGTTTCAAGCCACAGAACATATTTGAACTGTGTTTCAATCCATGCTAGCACATTAACCGCCGCGTAGGTCACCGGTGACCTATTTTAGCGGAGGATTTGCCTTCAGTAGCCTTCTGTCGGCAGTCAAAGGCCTAGAGGTTATGACCGACCAAATAACATATTCATGTCCGGTCCGGTGATGGGGACAATATTGAATATTGAATAATGTATCTATTGTTTAATTTCATTTTTAATTCTCTTTATTATTAAGTACAATTTTGTTTTGGATTATAATTCATTATAAATAGTTGTTAATAAATAAATACTAGTCGTTGCATGTCATGTTGTGTGCACATACCTGTGGAAGCATGGTCTGCCATTTACAGTTTTGTATTGTTACTCTGTCGTGTATTGCGCTGTGTTTCTGTTTTGTGTATCTATTAAATAAATAAATAAATATTCATGAGCAGCACTAAGCGACTCGACGCGACGACTGTCCCGCTGCTACTGCTGTACTGTGCATGGCTTGAAACTAGTCGAGTTCCTCGTCTTTCAGTTATGTGAGTATGTTTTACGAGAGTTATAATATAAATGGTGTAATACTGATGGAAGACCGTCTTGGTCATCCTATAATAGTTACGTTGCTGTGGTTTTTGAAAATAAAGAAAAAAGTATTTCTTTTTGCGTTTTCTTTCTCCTATACTTGACAGGTGTCGCGGAGAACCTAACGGGTAACCGGGGCTCCGGCTCGACGTGCAGGAGAAGGAACGGGGTGGTTTTTAGTCAGTAAGAGTCTGACACTCCCTCCCGCCTCACCCAGGTGGGAGCAGTCCCTCGATGATTTTCTCACCTTATAAAAAAAAAAAATTCTTGATGGGTCGATGTTTGGTTACTATCTCGCCTGGATAAGCGATGCAGGTCTACCATCAGCAACCTCTTCTTCCTTGAAAATGGGCTTTGAAGACACCTGGATTATACCCTTCAGAAAACACAGACTCTGTCAAAGAATTCCACTTCTTAGCAGTACGCACATGGAAGCTTCATGCTAAGCGCTATGTGCGAGTGGGTGGGACATCTATCATGAAGCGGTGGCGCTTCACTGATTGTCTTGTGGTACGATGATGGAAGGGACTAGGGGGAACTAAATTGTATAATACGTTGGTCACACATTTGGTCCAGTTTAGCTCCACTAAGACACAGGTCTGCGTGTTTACCGCTAAGAAACTGCCGTTGGTCGTCTCTCCTCAGTTCCAAAGCACCCCTCTAACTTCCTCAGCCGGTATTGGAATACTTGGCATTTTGAGCGACGTCCAAATTAGCCTCGAGGAAGCTTGGTGTGTTCAATAGATCGTGGCAGTATTTCACCCCGGCCCACCGCCTGCTTCTATATAAGGCGCAGGTTCGGCCCCACATGGAAAACTGTTTTCATCTTTGGGCGGGGGCACCCCAGTACCAGCTTCTTCCTCTGGACAATGTTCAGCGGCGTGCCGTTCGGATTGTTGGATGTCGGGATGTTTTAAACCGTCTAGACACTTTGGTAATGCGTAGAGATGTAACTTCGTTGTGCATCTTCATTCGCTTATACCACGGGGAGTGCTCTGAGGAATTGTTTGACCTGATACCTGCCGCGTCTTTTCGCCATCGACCCTCACGACAGCACATGCATCCCCATCATATAGATGGTTGGCAGGCCACAACTGTGCGCTTCTCGCGTAGCTTTCTGCCTCGCACAGCAAAACTATGGAATGATCTGTCGTCGGCGGTATTTCCGAACCGATACGATCTTCAAACCTTCAAGAAAAGAGCGTATTTCTTTTTGTGGGTGTCCACTGTCCATGGGCGGCGCTGATCGCTTACCATCAGGTGATCCGTCTGCTCGTATGCCTCCTATTCCTTAAAAAAAATTAGGTCTCAAACTTAAAATGAAAACAACAAAATAAAATCAATATAGGTAAAGGTTTATTGCATTCTATTTAGGTCTATTCTTCTCTAGAGCGTCGCGGAAGGCTTGTAGCCCAGCCACGGCGGCATCCAGGAAGCGTGGACCTTCTTCAGCGAGCTGCTTAGACAGCTGTTCCACTGTTTTCTTCTGCTCAATGGCCAACTTCTCAAGCACTGCTTTAAACTTCTCCAGGTCCACGCGTTGGACAGTAGATACTTCTTTAAACATCTGCTTCACCTTACTTTCTTGGTCTTTCGAAGCTTCTATCAATTTCGCTGAAAATATCATCAAAGCCAAATGTGGCTAAATCATTAATTTTAGGCTGGTTTTCGCGTCGCGCTGACTGCAGGCTGATCGTCAGCGCTGACAACCGAAATGTTTGAACTTCTATAAAGCGTTTTAGAATAAAGCGTTCTTTGGTCAGCGCTGACAGATAAAGCTACGACTTAGTTGTCCTCTGCCAAACTACGCGCTGAGCTATGAGCGCTGACGGTCAGCGTGAGACTAAAATCAGCCTTAATTATCTTCAATAAGAAGTTAAAGATAAAAGTTCGTCTGACAGTCAGTCTTCTAATCAGTGGCAGTGGCGTAACTATACTAAGAAGTACAGGTACAAACAACTCGACAGAGCCCCCCCTTTCGGCTGGGTGCTCGTGGCATTTCGTCGACTTGCCACTCTGTAACGCCACTGCCTCTAGCGAAGTTATTTGTTCTTTCCAAAGTGTAGATTCTTATATAGAAGAAAGAATAATAAGTGTGGTAGAGCCATGACGAATGGATCGGCTCGACCGGAGTGATACCACGGCCGAGCAGGAGACCGATGTGAAACAGTGCTTGCGTTGTGTTTCGTCGTGGTAAGGTAACCTTTCCCTTTCAATCTCTCCAATCCCTGAATCCCCAATGATTCTCAAATTCCTACTCCCCAAAAGGCTGGTAATACACTTGTAACGCCGGTGTTCCAGGTGTCAATGGGCGACGCCGATTGTTTACCATCAGGTGGTCCGTCTGCTCGTTTACCGCCTTATTTTGTATAAAAAAAGAATAAGAATGCCTATCCACCTCTTTTTCTACGAGTTCCACACCATTCTACCTCCCTACATCCTTGTTGATTGGACCCTCGTACTTACAGTCTTTCATCCATTGTATCAAGTTGTCAACATCAGTCTTTCCTCTCTTTTCGAGGTCTTTAAAAATTTTATCCATATCATCCATCTTATTTTTGGTTGTTTATTTTATTTTATTACAAAAAATGTTTTATTATGTCTGTCACTGGTGATTGTTCATTTTTTGACATCTGTCCTGCAATTTATGGATATTTTGGAAATTGTGAATTTTTTGGCATCTATGTAGGTGTACTTATAATGTCTACTTTTTGGTGAAATGCCGGTTACACATCTCAATGTAATGCTTATGATGTTGTGGATTTCAATGTTCCGGTGTTTTCATGGTTGTACCTATCTACTGTAGATCCTGGCTTACAGGAGTTGCAGCGGTTTTTGGAGGTTGTGGCGGGCTTGTCCCTTAAAATTATGATGTTGTGGATGTCCATAGACGGCGTTGTTTACCCACGATAGAATAACAGTAAAGGATAGATAGTAATTTTAAAAAGTCATTAATAAACCACTAAAAATTTTATTAATACTTAATAGTTCTCTCCTTATACTTCCGAGCAGTGAGTGTCAGCTGCGCAACTACCGTTGCAGTCAGGAGTTATAGCACGCCAAAAATAATTTGACTTCAAGTGCACCAAACTTGGTAAAGAAATCTTTAGATAGTTTTAAATAAAATTAAAACATTATCTATTTTGCAAGCACATAAAAAATTTACAATTCACATTATTTTATGTACACAAATATCATACTAAATGCGCCATCTATTCATAAGCCCCCTCCGTCTATAAAACATTCACTCTTTAGCGGTTCCAAGGTCTTTAGTCACTGTCGCGGAGAACCTAACGGGTTACCGGGGCTCCGGCTCGACGTGCAGGAGAAGGAACGGGGTGGTTTTTAGTCAGTAAGTCTGACACTCCCTCCCGCCTCACCCAGGCGGGAGCAGTCATTCGACGATTTTACCCCCTTAAAAAAACAATGAAAACAACATTCTAGAGATTTTATTTAAATAATAAATAAAACAAAATATATAACATTTGCGACTTGATTAATATATCATTTATCAAGTTTCGTCCGATTTATTAGACTGAGAAGTGGTATCATATGAACTGGTATCAGAGTCAGAGGTGTCGCCCTGGCTACCGGTAACTATCTGAATATTACAGTCGGTAACATCGCCTTGGCTACCAGCGGTGACTTCACCCTGGCTACTGTCGGCTACCGCACCTTGGCTACAGACGGGCACCTCGCCATTACGGCTGTTGACACTCTCGGCGACCTCGCCATTACTGCTATCTTGGTTCATAAGTAGGCTGTAGTCAGTGACAGTGCTCATATCGCTGCAGACGGTGACACGGGAGAATATTGCGAGTTTCTCTGATCCAGGCGCAGCTACGTAGATACCAGGGCTGGAGTCTACTGCGATAAAAATGGGAATAATTAGTACTAGTTGAACTATAATGTTTTAGATGATTGTTATTCTTCAAGTCCCGAGGCAAGCGCGCTCCATCGTAGACCACATCATCGCTTACCACTTTTGAGTGTGGGAGAGCCGTACTTCGGCACAAATGGTCAGGCTTGACCGGAGTGATACCACGGCCGAGCAGAAATATGACGTGAAACAACGCTTTCGTCGTGTTTCGTCATGAGAGTGAGGTTACCGGAGGCCCAAATACCCCCTCCCCTCCCCGATCTCTCCAATCTCTGAATCCCTACCAATCCTCAAACTCCTAATCCCCAAAAGGCCGCTAACGCATTTGTAACGCCTCTGGTGTCCCGTGTGTCCATGGGCGACGCCGATTGCTTACCATCAGGTGATCCGTCAGCTCATATACCATCTAATACCATAAAACAAAACCATCAGACGTGGTAATGCACAAACGCCATATTATTAAATATAAAACCGTCTGCCGAGCGAAACGATATCCTAATCAATTCTTAGATCGAGAAAATGTAATAGCTAGCTTCTGTCAACGGCTTCGCCCGCGTTCCCGTGGGATAAAAAGTAGCCTGTATGTTACTCCAGACCATAATCAAAGTGTTGAGTAACAAACAAAGAAACATGCAAACTTTCACATGTATACTATTAAAAGTAGTATAAATAATGTATCATATCAGCATTAAGCCCACAAGAAGGACAGTCGACCTGTCGCTCGTTCCAGCATAGCAGAGTAATGTCTTCTTAATTACAAATAAGCAATAAGTTTCTCACGATGGTCCATGGCAGAGACACGTCTATCCACAATAAAAAATCACGACGAACTGGTTACCCTACCGAACGACAATAAAACGCTCTTTTTCACGACGCCTCAACGCAAACAGCCGATTTTAGCGTTGCGGCGACGCAACGCGGTTATGTGTTTCGGCCCTATGTGTATGATATAATTTTAATTTTACCTTGATCAAGCACCGCAGGTATTTGTTTACCAAGCCTGGCCGACATTTCTTCCAAGGATTTATTTTGTTCTTCAGCAAAAATATTGACTATTTCTTTAAATTTATCTAGCGATATATTTTTCGTATTAGGAACATCTCTGAAGTGGTCGACGAGCCATTTCTCAGTGTCCCTCTTTGATGGATCTATTACATGCGCTGGAAGTTATGAAAAGAAACTTTACTGAAAGAAGTAAAAGTATAAACTGCCTCATTGATTGTTCGAGTGGTTAAAGTAGGTGGGGCAATTTCCAAAGCTGTGGACGAACTATAACGGTTTACTGGGACTCCGGCCCGGAGCAGGAGTAGGAGTAGGATCAGGGTGTTGTTTAGATAGAAGTCTGACACCTCGCCTCACTCAAGGTGGGAGGAGATATTCGATGATTTTCTCCACTTAAAATAAAAAGATTGCCGGACATAATGTATTGAAGTCCTTTTCTGTTCTTCGACAATTTTTCTCAGTAGATGCGGAGTGTCAATAGTCTATAATTGTATGTATCCGGTATTTTTTTTTTAAGGGGGGAAAGTCATCGAATGACTGCTCCAGTGTCAGACTCTTACTGTTCCCACCGTTCCTGTTCCCACCACCCACCCCGTTCCTTCTCTTGTACGTCGAGCCGGAGCCCCGGTTACCCGTTAGGTTCTCCGCGACAAAAAGACAACGTCACGCAGTGTTCCCAGGCGGTCACCCATCCAAGTACTGACTGCACCCGATGTTGCTTAACTTCGGTGATCGGACGAGAACCGGTGTTTTTAACATGGTATGGACGTTTACATGTACCCGGTATAGGACCAGTCCGCCACAACCTCCCAAAACCGCTGCAACTCCTGTGCACCAGGATCTACAGTAGATACAACCATGCAAACACCGGAACACTGAAGTCCAACGTCCCAGGGACATGAACAACTAATGGGAGAGAGAAGGAGCCTGTACCCCCCGCCTGGCAGGCGGGGCGAAGATGACTTACCTTTGGCCATCCATTTGATGAGATTTTCAATGTTATTGTATCCCCTAATTTGTAATTGTGTGAAAATTTCTTCCATTCTTGATTATTGTACATTTTTATTGTGACGGCTATTTAATCAATTCATTTTGAGTCGTGTAAAGTACGTATCTTTTAGTAATTTAGCATATTGTTTGAAACGTTACTCATGTTTTGAGAATTTTGACAGAAATAACATTCATTGACAGAATAATAGGTAATCAACTTACTTTTTATTCTCCTCTTTGGTGTACATTTGTAGAAAAGTATTCGACGAATACGGACGTTGAAAAAGGTGAACACACTGTCTTGAAACAATGAAAAACGTCCAGACAACTAGTATTGTTGACTGGACATCTACACTACACGAGCTACTGTTTATATGTGAACATTATTAGCTCATGACAATACCTAAGTACGTGTGTCGCCTGGACAGTCAACCTCGCTACATCCTTGTTGACTGGATATCTACACTACATGAGCTGCTGTTTACATGTGATCATTAGCTCATGACGATACCTAAGTAGGTACGTGTGTCGCCTGGCTACTATAGACGCAGAACACACACACATTGACACGAAGATCATTGTCTTAAGTCTGGTAACGTGGTAACACATTACACACGCACACATAAAAAACCACTGACATTTCGCTTTTTACATTTGATGGGTCGACGTTTGCCCACTATCTCGCCTGGTGGTGCACGATGATGCGGTCTACGATGGAGCACGTCGTCCCATAAGCAACCTATTAACTCGGGCCTTGAAGACATACAGGTTACCCTTCAGGAAACAGACTCTGGCAAAGAATTCCACTCTAGGAAGCTTGATGCGAAGCGCTTCGTGCGTGTGGGTGGGTGGGAAATCTACTATGAATCGCTGACGCTTCGCCGATTGTCTTGTGGTTCGATGATGGAAAGGACTAGGGGGAACCCAGTTGCGCAATTCCCCCGCACACTCACCGAAATGCATCTGGTAGAAAACCAGTGGTGCGTCAATCGTTTCTAAGTGGCATTATGTCCCCCTTGTTTTCGACCTTTTCGTTTACAAAGGTAATATTGCACTTACCTAAGTACCTATTTCAGGTTACAGTTTGTCCTGATGGCAAGCAGACACTACGATGTCTGCTTTTCTTTAAAGGGTCAAGCCCGCCACAACCTCCCAAAACCGCTCCTCCTCCTTTAAGCCGGTATCTACAGTAGATACAACCATGAAAACACCAGAACACTGAAGTCCAACGTCCCAGGAAATGAATAATTGTCTTGGTTCCCGCAACGAAGCGAATCAGAAGATATTATAATAGGAAAAAAAACGATAGTTTCCACTTCCCTCGGTGAATTACTGCAGGAGACAGAATGAATTAAGCCTAAAGGCACAAAGAAGAGACTGTACAACTGGGTGAAGTCCAGTCGCCAAGCACCACGGAAATTTGACTAAAAACTAAGTGGGTCTATGTGAGCTGTTATACTTGCTTCCAATAATAGGTATGGCAAAAACGCCTAAACGCACGGAAATTCGTTCTAGATTCCACAAGGTCCGTATAATAAGCTACACCTGACGAAACAATTAAATAATTTAACATAGTGTTACGTTCATACTGCCAGAGATCACAGTCCCAGAGTATGTGATAGGCCGCTGTCGAACATTGGCACCATGGTGAATCAACAAGTTTAAATGAGAACAATTTGCTTTTAAAGTTGCCGTGGCCAGTAAGATATTGGTGCCGCTCATACACGGATGGGAAGAACTGATATGACTGCGTAGTCTCAACACACCTGTAAGTCTAGAGGAAGCATGAGTGGGACACGAACCATGCAGGGGAATTAACGAAAATGTAATCAAACCCGAGTCTGTCTAAAAGCAGTTATAGGTACTTGCGACGACTTTACTAACAAGGCAAAGCCTACCAGATTTATTTTAATAAATTGTATTATTCTCATAACCACAACGAATCAACAATGAAGTAAAATATATTATTATAATATCTAATCTATTAAATTTTATTACATTTCTTACAAAATTAGAAACGTATACGTAAGTGCTTATGAACATTTTACAATAATAATAGTCATAATAGACTGAAAATTCAGCAGTGTTTGTCAATAAATCCATTAGTTTTGCGACTGACCCCGCTCCGGAGAAGACGTCCCATCATGTCAAGAGAATGAGAGAACAGAGAGTACACGTGTATTAGGTATAGACAGTACACTAACGCTTGAATACTGAAAGGGTAATCAATTTAATAAGGTGTACCATATCGTGCCATCTCTGTCATTTTCCATAGAATTTATCGAGACAGAACTATACTTAAGCACGAATTAAAATTGAGTGACGTGTGTGTATTTGGACATTACTTGTGTACTGTAACATCGCCTGCGCCAGCTACCATAGCTTAGACTGACTTATTTTCTTGTGTCTGTGTTTTTGAATAAGAGATTGAGATATTTTATCATCAACCTTTAACTATTCCACTGCTGACCAAAGGCCTCTTCTCACCGGAGATGGAATGAATATTAATAACCACGCTTGCTCAACGCGGGTTGGCGATTTATACTTATAATTTGAGAATATAAATCTAGAGAGAGAATCATGCAATATTCTCTTCTGAGCTAATTAATCTAGTTGAGAAAAACCTTTCTTCTTGGATTTGAACGTCCGGTAGCATAAGATAGACTACCTACTCCTGCTATTTCACTCACTGCGCAGCTCCTATTGGTCGCAGCGTGATGTTTTATGCCCTATAGTCTTCCTTGATAAATGGGCTATTCAAAACAAAAAGAATTATTAAAATCGAACTAGTAATTCTGGAGATAAGTGGGAACATACAAACAGACAAACAAACAAAATTTGGTACGGACTTTTGAAAAATTATGGATATTGAAGAAATGTATATGGTTCTTTACGGTGCAAGCAGGAGTGAAGGAGCAAAATTCGAGATTGTAGAAAAGTGGTTTAAAGAATGTGAAATAATTGATGACATAAACCTATCTTTGAAGTTGTTTGAAACTTCTTACGATAGAGTCCGGGAAAATAGGTACGATTTGACCCTGGTACAATTCGCCGAGTTACTGGGAATTTTGTCCAGGGAGACCAATCAGGATTTGGTCAATTTTCAGGTCAAGTTTAAAAAGGTTAAGCAGCGAATTGTTGATGAGATACAGGCGAAGTTTGATGACTGATACATATAATTATACGTTTCGAAGGAGTAGAGTTCATACACAATGTAACGCCCACCTTTCACTATTTATGTTATGTAATAAGTACTTTGAAATGTTCTTGAAAAATTTGACTTAATTGGAGAGCGTCCAATCAAATTGACTTATATAATGGCACGCCTTTTATCCTGGAAGGGGTTATAATGGCTTATAATGCCAGATATACAATGTAACACTCACTTTTAACTATTTATGTTATGAGTCCCATGTAATACCATATGAGCGTATTGCCATATACCGGGCACAATTCCAAACTTCGTGCTACTACTGAGATTTTTTTTAAAACCCAGTAATACTTTGTCCGACCCGGGAATCGAACCCGAGACCCCTTGCCCGGCAGTCGCACTTTCACAAGCAACGAGGAGGCAGCTCGACATTTTTTTAAATCAGGATATGTTCAAAAATTTTGTTTGACTCGGTAACCGAACTTCTTCGGTATTTGCGCTGACAACTACTCGACAATCTAATCAGTCGGCTATGGACTGGGGAATCAAACCTAGCAATTATAACATATACCTATTATAGGTACACCAATCAAAAACGAAGATACTTTGCAAAATAAAACTGTATAAATAAAAACACAAGTAAAAAAATTAAATCATCTATATTTTGTTATAAAAATACATTGATATTAAAACTAAATAATAATATTATTAGCAAAATTGTATAAATACAATACAATACATGATTAGAAGAACATTGTGATAAAATTATACAAGATTACATTTTTAAGCAAAAATCTTTATATTTCTACTTTTACCTGGCCGACTAGGTGACGCGCGTATACGCACGTATTCGGACGTTTCATTATTTTAAAACTTCGTCTTGAATCAGTCTATTTATTAAAGAGAATCGCATCATAATCTGTTGCGTAGTTTTACAGTAAACAGTTGAGTTAAGCACCCAATGCGACAGTCACTATCTTATGTAAGACTCCCGGATTATCTCGAAATTAGTTGAGCGACCTCGATATGTGTAAGTAAGCAATATAATATTTATTTTTGAATAGAGGCAATGTATCTTTGCTAAAAATTAATAACAATAATTTTATGAACGTCCAAACACGTGCGTATACGCACCGAAAATGCTTTTTAAAATAATGTACTTACAAATTGATTTATTTTGTTTCTATTTTTTATTCGTTTTATACAAATAAGATTATACTTTAATAGCAGATACATAAAGGTACCATTAGGCGGTAAACGAGCAGACGGATCACCTGATGGTAAGCAATCGGCGTCGCTTATGGACACCCGGAACACCAGAGGCGTTACAAGTGCCTTGCCGGCCTTTACTTGAGTCTATTTCATGCACACGACGTAACACAATAAGGTAGTATCCTAAATTTTATTTCAATGTCCGTCTGGTATATTATTTTAAAACATTAGACACGTATTTTTTCTTTTCTTACAAAATTAAATACTTTCGACCATACATTGATTTGAAATATCGTGTGACGTCACGATTTACTACATTTTATAGGGTAGCGTGACGTAACGACCTCCCACTCCTATACTCGACATTTTATCTAAGTATTCTTTTCTTATACGACAAAATAAAAAAATACGTGTCTAATATTTTTTCATTATCTAACTGATGGATTAATAACGTTTTTAATATTCATACACTGTTTAGTACCCTATTCAAGTGTTACTATATCTCAGTATTCTGCGAGGCCGTGGTATCACTCCGGTCGAGCTGACACAACAGTGCCGATGTATAGCGAGCCATGACTTCTTATTCTTACTAGTAAAGTATAACCTTACATTTTATTAGTTTTTATTTCAAAACACCAATAAAGGAAGATGAGATGTACTTAATAACCGACTTTCAGAAGTTTCAGATAA